ACACAAGAAGATCTAGATGAGCTTGATTATGAATTTCCCTTATTGGAGTTTTTCGGCTCTAGATGGTAGCTACACTGATAGGAATGTCCAAGTCTAAAAGAAGCTCTAGATATCCTCACATCTCAGATTGTCATCATTGTCAATTGCTAGTATCTTGCCACCGAGAGAAGTATACCAAACTGAATCCATAGTGCCAACCATGACTGCCTCTAGCTGTAAGAGAAGGTTGGTGTAGTTCTAGACAAACTATCTAAGCTCTCAAGTTACCTCTTGGGAATCGTGGTTGTCATCCTCAAGTACAGATAATGGTGGTGGATCATACTTAGGAACACTTGATGCTACCGTGTGATTACTAGCAATAACTGCCTTGAGCTATGAGGGGGACAAATCCTCCAGCTCAATTGGAGTAACAGGCTACAAGAGAAGATTAGCTATATTTGGAATTACCTTTTGCAAGTCATGCTTGTCATCCTTTTCGAGTATAAGTGCATCATACTTGGGAACAGTGTCACTGTTGGCAATCACTGCCTCGAGCTATGAGGGTAGTGCTAGGAAATCCTCTACTTTCTTGTCTGCTGTTGCAGCAGGAGTCTACCCATATGAGAAAAATATCAAGGAACAAGAAAAAATGATAGAAATGAGGGAGCAATACACACCTTCAATCTTGTTGCCTATGTGCTTGCCTATGTTGGAGCATATCACAACTAAGAGAATGCCAATGCTAGAGCTTCCATCATAATAGGGCATACTATGTAAAGTAATTGATTTAGAAAAATATCTTTGTCTATGACTTTGATATTATCCATCTATTAATTTTTGAGTTTAGGTTAGTAAAGGTAAACTGACTTTAGCACTTTGTATGCATGATGAAATCTTTAGTCATGGGATAACTATTGTTAATTGATCGTATAATATATCTTTCTCTCAATGTTCCTAATTCTGTTAAAAGGGCATAATTGTCTAAACAACTCTAACTACCTGTTTACAGTAGTTTATCTAAATCTTACCGATAGGTTTAGTTTATGTTCTCAAAAGGGTTGGAGCCTCTAGCTTCTCTTTCTATATCATATACAAGTAGGGGTATATAATATTTTATAAACTAGGTGACACCTAAAATAGCAAGGGTGGTTAATTCTATTGGTTATTTCTTTGTTAGTGATAGCCAAAAGGTGTTTAAATTGTAACACATTTGTGTTAGACAGAGAAATTACCCCCTAATTCATTTAAGTTCATACATTTCTTACAAAATGTGAACACCATAAATTTTTTCTAGAGTTCTTTCTTTGTCGATGGTCTAAATTAGAGTATGCATCGATGAGGACATCAATCTTCCCTAAAGGGGGGACAATGTCATGAACGTGACTTTGGGTATCAAAAATTATATGTCAATGAGTCCTTTTAGATATTCTTCTTTTACTACTATGGTAGTAAGACGTCAGTATTGTTGGACCCTCTTGTTCAAATGTTAGTAAACTTAATTTAACATCTATACTTGGCTAAACAAGCATAAGGAAGGAATTCTAAAGTATCTATTTATCCAAGCATATTTAGCCTAGTTTGTTAATTCTTTTTTGCTTTATCCTGTATGGCTTGACAAGAACCTTTGCAATATTGAGCTTGGTCCCTCAATACTTATTAAGTGATAGCTTATTATGTCCGTCAAGACACCCTCTTTATCATACCCCAT